AAAAGGGTAGAGAGTGAGAACCAGCTTCACCACATATTAAAACATATAAAGACATAGTAATTAAAACAGTACATGTTACCAGCATGTGAACATACAGATGAATTAAACAGAACAAAAAGTTCCGAGGTGCTTGGGTGGCTCAGTTGGTTAAGCGTCTGACTCTTGATTTTGGCTCAGGTCATGATCTCATGGTTCATGGGATTGAGCCCCATGTCTGGCTCTGTGCTGACAGTGCAGAGCCTGCTTGGGATTCTCTCTCTCCCTCTCTCTCTCTGCCCTTCTCCTGCACAAGCTCTTTCTCTAAATAAATAAATAAATAAATAAATAAATAAATAAATAAAGAGAGAGAGAGAGAGAGAGAGAGAGAGAAGAGAAAGCTTAAAAATAGACCCAAATGCATATAATAACTTAGTGTACAATAAAAGTAACATCTCAAATTAGTACTGAAAAGATGGATTATTAAGTTGTTGGGACAGTTGTGGAACAATCTAGAAACAAAGACCCCTATCTCACACCTTACAACAGGATAAATTTAGATCAAATATTTCGTTATAAAAAATAAAACTATGAAAGGATTTAAAATATCATCTCAGAGACGCAAAAGCCTTTTAGAAAGGATACAAACCCGGAAAGATAAAAGAGTAAAATACTGAAGTATATAAAAATCAAACATTCCCACAAATTAAAACGCACCAGAAACAGGGCCACTGGGGTGGCTCAATCAGTTAAGTGTCTGACTTCAGCTCAGATCATGATCTTGGGGTTCAGAAGTTCAAGCCCTGCATTGGGCTCTGTGCTGACAGCTCAGAGTATGGAGCCCACTTCGATTCTCTGTCTCCCTCTTTCTCTGCCTCTCCGCTGCTCGTGCTTGATCTCTCTCTCTCTTGCTCACTCTCTCTCTCTCTCAAAACTAAATAAACATTTAAAAAAGTTTTTTTTTTTTTAATGCACTAGAAACAAAGCCAAAAGATAAATGACAACTCAGGGTACATCTGCCTCTCATATCCCAAACACAGGACTAATTTTCCTAAAAACTGAAAAGCACCTAGAAATAAGAAACAGGTCCAACTTGATTTTCAGCTTAGGTCATGGTCTCATGGTTCATGAGTTCTAGCCTCAAGTCGGGCTCTGTGCTGACAGTATGGAGCCTGACTGGGATTCTCTCTCTCTCTGCCTCTCCTCTCTCTCAAAAATAAGTAGATAAACATTTTTTAAAAGCTGGCCAATGACCTAACAGAAAAAAGGGCAAAAAATAGGAAGAGAGAAATTCACCGAAAGGAAAGTATAAGTGGTTCCTAAACATATGAAAAGGAACTTAACCTCCCCACACGACGTGGTGACAGGGTGAGGCATTCTGCCTGGCTGGTGGGAGTGCCTCTGAGAAGGGCAATTAATGCCACAATAGCTATGAAAACCCCAAGTCCTTCTGTTCTTTGTTCCAGCCACCCCAGACACTTATCCTGTAGTCTTCCTAGGTGACTGGCAACAGTGACGTGTATAATAACAAAAGGTTGGAAATAACCAAAATACCCATTAATCAGGGAATGGCTAACTAAATTACAGGATGGTCATATAGCAGAACACTGAGCAACCTCAATTAACAAAATGAGGAAACTCAGTACATACATGTTGATATGGGATGACCTCCCAGGTATTGTTGTTAAGTGACTAAAGAAAGGTGCAGAACCCTCTCAAAAATAAATAAACATTAAAAAAAATTTTTTTTTAAAAGGAGGGAGCATCTGGGTGGCTCAGTCGGTAAGTGTCCGACTTCAGTTCAGGTCATGATCTTGCGGTTCATGAGTTTGAGCCCTGCATCGGGCTCTGTACTGACAGCTCAGAGCCTGGAGCCTGCTTCAGATTCTGTGTCTCCCTCTCTCTCTGCTCCTCCCCCACTCACACTCTGGTCTCTCTCTCAAAAATAAATAAACGTTAAAAAAAAAAAAAGGTGCAGAACAGTATATAGAACATTCCGCCTTTATGTAGAAAAAAACAAACC